TGGTTTAAATATTAAAGGTGAACGCCAGCAAAGCAGAGAACAGAACTGCTCTCTATTACACACAAACCCCCCCTTCACTGCTCCCCCAAAGGGAAGAGAAGAGTGCACATAAAGACAGATTAAACTCTGAAAATTGAAACTAGAAGCAAACTGACTGTAACACAAGCAAAAAGGGTAACACGTGGGGGAAGAACAAGTCGGTATTTCTATGCAAATATGCAAAAGGCATCTCGATGCCGGCAGGGACATGGGAAAGGCAGGGCCGCCCCAGGGGAGAGCTCCAGGGCTCCTCCCAGCACCCGATGCAGTTGGATTCTGGAGCCAGCACGTGGGAAGCCGCAAGGAACAGCAGCAGACACAGCCCCAGGAAGTACAAAAGGAACCAGCTCCCTGCTCGCCTGGCTTTGCTCAATTGTGGCAGGAAGTGGGCGGGAATACTGACCCTTCCAGGCTTTCCGGGGCCTCAGGACACTCTCTGTGGGCGTCCAACACCGCGCCGGGGTCTCCCAGACCTTCACAGGAGTATCTTTTGATGAACCAACACATCTTGATTTCATTGGAGTTCCCAGGGGAGTTCCAGACAAGCATGAAGCGAGAACACAAACAGCACCAGGGTTTCAATCTTCTTTCTTGTTTGCTTGTTTTCCCGTGGGTAACAGTGAGCAAGAATGTAGATTGGATAAATTATATTCCTTATAACCAAGAGAGATTTGTAGACTGTAGCAGAGATGTAGTAAAAGAGAGCTGCAGTAAAAGGGTCTGCACAACAGCTGGATGCTACTGGTAGAAGGGCTTGGGAAAACAGAACAGCCTTAGGCATGAAAGGGGGCAACAAAGCAGATGGAGCCAGCCCTACAGGCGGTGTGTGGGACCGGGTAGAGAGGGCCGGGACATCAAGTGGTCATCTCAGCCCTACTGGGCAGGCTGTCACCCTTGGAGTACCCAGCCGGCGGGGAAACAAGGGAGGGATCAGTCGGTCGGGATCAGGGAATCAGAAGGTGGGCTGAGTGCCCACCCGGTGTGCCTGCTTTGTGGGTCCCCTGCTCCTGCAAGTGCAAAGGGGGCACTTTGATTTCCCAATGTGTCCTGTATTCCTCTGCCACTCCTCACCTCCTCCTCTTCCCCCTTTGGTGAACTGCCAAGGACCTCGAAGAGGAGCCTTTCCAACGTCTCCTCGTCAGCAAGCTCAGTGTGGGGTAGAAGAATGGACAGTGAGATGGAATGAAAACTGGCTGAACAACAGAGCCCAGAGGGTGGTGATCAATGGTGCAGAGTTCAGCTGGAGACCTGTAATTGGTGGAGTCCCCAGGGGTCAGTGCTGGGTCCAGTCCTGTTCAGCATCTTCATCAGTGACCTGGATGAGGGGACAGAGATTTCTCTGACATGCCTAATGTGCAGATTATATGTGTTTTGTTTTGACGCCACTGAAATCTCTGTTACGAAGTTCACTAATAATTAGGGGAGAAAAGCCTTTCTAGAAGGCAGTTTTTATGCCTGCTTACTGCTTTACTAGCAGTCTAGTAATTCTGATGTGTTGAATATAGGGGTTTTTTTATTTGAACTGTTACTATCCTCAAGTCAGGATAGTAGATATGTTAGAGTGAGGAAGACTCTTTAACCTGTATTGATTAGAATTTTGTTAATTCTCTCTTTTACTGGACAAAGAAGCCAAATGAGGAGGAGTAAAACGGCACCCACTGGGTAGATGTCTGAAAAAAAAGTTGGATAAAGAGGAATTTCAGGACCTGTAATTGGCAGCTTGAGGGATAGTGCCTTGAGGAGAAATCTGCTCTCATATATTAGGCAGGAAGAGGTGACTAAATACATTTCATGTTCACTGCCTTCTGGTTGGATTTATTTCAGCAAAATTATTGAGGGAAGTCTCATTGATTGTCTCCTCTTGCATACCCAAATTAATTATTCTTATCAGCTTCTCTATTATCTGCCTTTTTAAAATTTATTTTTCTATTATTGTTGCTACTGTTGCCTCTGCAAAGTTACATTTGATATAACTGTGAAGTTTCACGTTGTTCACAGGACTTTGTTCAGTTTTAGTACAACAGCTCCAATCATATTAAATTTCTCAAACCAAACCAGTAAGCTGTAAGCAGCAGGCTAGACTTCAGCACAATAGACTGTAAATTCAGAAGGTCCTGCTCATGGTTTTCCCCTCCTTTTCTGTTAAAAACTTGAAAGTTGAATATGTTAAGGATGGAATTTTCATTACTGGTCAGTGTGGGACTTATTCTGCTCCCCTTGGAAGTAGGCATTGGCAAAACTCCCACTGATTTCAAGAAGGGAGTACTGGGTTGGATCTTAATCATAGAATCATAGAATGTATTGGGTTGGAAGGGACCTCTAAAGGTCACCTAGTCCAACCCCCCCTACTATAAGAAGGGACATCTCCCAACTAGAACAGATTCCTCAGAGCCCCATCAAGCCTGACCTTGAATGTCTCCAGGGTTGGGGCCTCCACCACTTTTCTAGGCAATCTCTCTCAGTGATCCACTCCCCTCATATTAAAGGACTTTTTCCTAGTGTTCAGTCTAAATCTACCCTTCTCTAGCTTGAAACCATTACCCTTTGTCTTACATTATATGCCCTTGTAAAGAGGTCATCCCCAGCCTTCTTACAGGCTCCTCTCAGGTATTGGAAGGTCGCTATAAGGTCTTCCAGAGTCTTCTCATCTTCAGGTTGAACAACTCCAACTCCCTCAGCCTGTCTTCATAAGAGAGGTGCTCCAGCACCCTGATCATTTTCATGGCCATTTGTGATCTTGCAAAGTTCTAAAAATTCTACCAGATTTCTATAACATCAGCTCATAAAAAAATACTTTAATCAATTCATTTATTTTTAAAAAAATATTTTCCTGATCTGTGTACTTACTGTAGTTCCTTACGTTCCCTTCTCCCATACAAACCTGAGAAAAGCCTATTTCCCTTAACTGCCAGTGAAAACTCAATTTCTTTTCCACAAGAGGGGTAAGAGTTGGCTGTAAGCAGCTTGCAATTGTAAAATACTCTCTCAGACTTGAGGAGCTTGTTTTTGGTTTAAATATGTTGAAGTATAATTTAGTTTTATTATCATCCCATATTTTCTATAATTTTATGCTTTTTAGTGATTTTTTTTCAAATGTAGTTAGGTTTGGGTTTTTTTGCAGCTCTTGCTGATTACCTTAGAGCTTTCTCATGATCCTTTTGCATGATGTAACCCACTTTGAGAAGCACTGACTGAGGTCATTACTTTCTGAATATACTACACCACTTAGGTGTTTTTATGTGGTGCTTTGAGCTTCAAGGGAGACCAGATTACAGGCCATCTGGTTAAGCAGGACCTGCATACGATGTGGGTAGCTAATACCGTAAGAACCTAAATGCTTACCCTAAGATCCAGAAACACCTTTTGTTAGAGAGATGACTGAAGGGATGGTATTTGGTGGTCAGGGAGTGAGGAGTTCCTTCTGTGCAAAAAAATCCATTATGCTGTGGTTTAGGAGAGTCCAAAGATTTCACAGTTTACACTGTTCACTCTTTTATTGTGTATACACACTCATGTGTTCATTTACTTTAGTTGTCTCATTTGCTAACATTCACTAATTTGCTAAATAACACTTAAGGACTCACAGCAATACCAAAAATAACATAAATGTATTACTCCATTTTAGCTCATATCTACATATATATCTATTAGTGATGTCGTTGATTTGCGGCAAGGCCAAAGCATAATTTCAACATATTTTCAATTCTTCTGCAGGGTTTTCAATGTCAGGCATTGTGGCTGAGATGCAAACGTGTGCTCTTGGAGCTTGGATTTGCAAACACTTCTAAGCTGATAAAATCTTTGAAAATATTGGTCCTGCTGTATTGCTACCTCTGGCCTTTTGTTCTGTTCCTGCACTGCTTTTTGCTTATACTGGCATGAACGTTAGCATGGCCAGACAGTGAATCAAATCAGGGGGCTGATTTGTGTTGAAGCTTATCTGGTATGGAAAAAAAGGTTGCTATTTGTTCTCTCTTCCACACCTCTATTTATGCAAGCTAGTGAGGGAAGGTGACCAGGGATATGAATGAACAGTCAGGTGGAAGCAATGGGACAGCTGGTTCTCATGCTAGCATTGGTTAAAGGTATTTTGAAGTGACACCCTTGAACTTTCATCTGTTGCATGCCCTGTCCAAGCTTGCCAGGAAGCAGTTTTGACTCTGAGGCTTTGATTTCCAGATGCACTTCTCAAATGGTGGTGGCAGCTGCAGTGGCAGTCATTGCTGGCTCTGGTTCCTGCCCCTTCATTTTGTCAGCATAAGGATGTCATGGGGAATCTCTTTGCTTCCTACAGTGTGTGAGCTGTCATTCCCTGCCCCCTCTTCTCTCCCATCCACTCAGGTTTTCTGATCTGGATTGTTCCATGGGATGGGTGCAAATGAACAGCTGTGGAGGTAGTGGGATCACGAAAGGGAAACTTTTATTTCTAGCTTGACCTAAATAGTCTGAGGGAATCCTGGGCTGGGACAAGTTCTACCTTGCCTTCAGCACCCTACATACTCTACAACAATTTATCCCCTTTACTTCCAGTTCTTATTTTCAGCCTCAGGAGTAACCAGGCAAGTGGTTGTTTTCTTCATTGCCTTGATCTAATTAACCTATAAAACATGTATCTGCTGTTAGTAATGTTTAGTGGCAAAGGTTAACAGAAAGGAAATTAATAACAGTATATAAAAAACAAGGATAGGAAGCAATGGGTACTCCTAGTCTACTGGTACTTCAGCCCATCTCACCACTCTCTTTTTGCCACTCGACTTTGTATTCAATGTGGTGATTTTGCTCCCTGCCTTCCATCCCCTGCACTTCTCTTAAAAACAGAGTTGGATGTCTACCTTCCCTGCTTCTGCAGCTCCTCCCTCCTTAAGTTTTAACTGCCCGCTTTAGAAGCATGGATTCACCTTTCCCAGAGATTTCTTTCTAACATTTTCATCCACAAAGAAAAATAAAATTGAGTCCGTGTGATGCAAAATCCCCAGGAGTCAATCCTGAGCCCAGTCTTACTCAACGTCTTCATCAGTGACCTGGATGAGGGGACAGAGTGTATCCCCTGCGAGTTTGCTGATCACACGAAGCTGGGAGGATTGGCTGATGCCCTGGAAGGCCGTGTGGCCATTCAGCGAGGTCTGAAGAGACTGGAAAGCTGGGCAAAGAGGAACCTAAGGATGTTCAACAAGGGCAAGTGTAGAGTTCTGCACATGGGAAGAAACAACATGCACCAGTGCAGGTCAGGAGCTGAGCTGCTAGAAAGGAGCTCCACGGAGAAGGACCTTGGAGTCCTGGTGGACAACAAGTTATCCATGGCTCAGCAATGTGCCCTTGTTGCCAAGGAGGCAAACGATACCCTGGGCTGCATTAAGAAGAATGTGTCCTGCAGGTAGAGGGGGGTTCTTCCCCCCCTCTTCTCTGCCCTAGTGAGACCACATCAGGAGCACTGCAACCAGTCCTGGGCTCCCCATTGCACGAGGGACAGGGATTCACTTGGGAGAGTCTAAGAAAGGGCTACGAGGATGATGAAGGCACTGGACCACCTGCCTTATGAGGGAAGGCTGAGAGCCCTGGGGCTGTTTAGTCTGGAGAAGACTGAGGGGGCACCTAATGAATGTATATAAATATCTGAAGGGTGGCTGTCACGAAGGAAGGGCCAGTCTCTTGTAAGTGGTGTCCCGAGATAGGATGAGCGGCAGGGGATGGAAGCGAGAGCACAGGGAGCTCCACCTCCACACGAGGAAGGTCTTTCCTGTGAGGTTCACAGACACCTGGGAAAGGCTGCCTGGAGAGGTTGTGGAGCATCCTTCTCTGGAGACATTCAGAACCTGTTGGGATACAGTTGTGAGCGACCTGCCCTAAATTCTGGGGTGGTCCTGCTTTGCCAGGGGGTTGGACTCGAAGATCTCCAGAGGTCCCTTCCAAGCCCTGACATTGCCCGCAATTCCCGGCCCGCAATTCCGCCTTTTCCAGCTCCTTCCCCGGGGGGCCGGGCGTCCCGCCGCGCGGGGTGCGGGGCCCTGCAGCCTCCCCCGGGGACGCCTGCG